CTCTGCTTGGTGCCTTGGGCTGTTAGGGGCAGATTTTGGCAGGACTGGCAGGTTGATGCTCACAGAGATCAGGCCTGGGAGACAACAAGGACCCCAGAGTGCACACTGGGGGCTCCTACCCCACCTTCTGCAGAAACTGGCCTTGCAGGGTCACTAGTGATCAGAAGCCACATGTGTCCTCAGAGACCCCAGAGCCAGCCTCACCCTGATAGCACTATCAACAGGTCTGCCTCCCGTCCATGTACTTCTGGGATGCCCTCTTTGGACTCTGTCCCTCCAGCTGTCTGGTCACTGGACACCCTGCTCTTCTTTCCACAGGGTGAGCAGCATGCAGTGGGTGCAGAGCCCCTGTGGCCTCTGCTCAGAGCAGCCCAGTGTGGTTGCTGGTGAGAGGGTGGTGGGGTGCAGCATGCAGAGAGAGGATTCCCACCCCCTTCCATCGAGCACCTCCCCATGGTGAGCATGTCATGGTGGCGGGCCGAGACTTAGGACAGTGACTCCCAGAGAAGCAGTGACTCCCTAAAGGGCATGTGGAGGGCCTGTAGCAAGGGGTATCTGCCCGTTTCCGGAGGTCCAAAAAGTCCGTTGATGGAAGCGTGGCAGAGTGGGAGTGGAATTGGGGTGAGGGGTCCAACCATGCACTGACAGAGGGTCTCTAGGGAAAGGTACTGTAAGGGATCCCTTTGCCTTCCAGGTCCTCTGTGTGGCAGGTATTGGGCCGTTCATGGAGCAGAGGCAGCAAGGGTTGGGGAAGGAAGGCAAGCAGAGCGCTCAGGGCTTCGCACTGTCAACAGGGATGGGGCCCCAGGCTAATCCAGAGCCAGAGGTTAAACCCACAGGAAAACGAGCCCCAGCAGAAGCAGACCCATAAAGATGCCACTGTTGGAATGTTCAGACACAAAATAGCTGTGTTTAAAGAAATCAGAAAAACTTGCGAATGTGAATAGGGAACAGGGGAAACCTAAAGAATGCCAGTGGAGGCTTGGAAAAGAATCAAAAGATTGAACATGGCCAAAGAGAGAACCAAAGGCGAGGAAAGAGGAATGGCAGAAAGGACATGGTGGGTGGGAGGTGAGACGGGTGGGAGGGGGCCACCCGAGGACCAGGCTGCTCTGCCCAGCCTGGCAGGCTTTCTGTGGGAGCTCCAGAAAGAGGCAGAGCTTCTGGAAAGATGATGGTGGGGAATTCTCTAGAATAGTTTAAAGATGCCAGATCCATGAGTCCCCAAACCCTTTCTTTCAATAATTAAAAATGAGCCCAGACCTGGATATACATCATAGTGAAACTGAAGGAAACAAAAGGAGAATACATTTTTCTCACCATTTCTCTGCCAAGTAGTTTGTGTTTCCTACGTAGATCATCCTGTTACATCATACACCGATGACAACTGGTGTGTTCCTTCTTCATTAGCAAGTGAATCTACAATAAATGTTTAGAGACAATAAAAAAAGTTAGCAAGATTGCTTGTAAAAGTAGTGCACAAAATAAAATGTGTTTGTACTCCAGAAACAGAAAATAATTTATGAACGTAACGATGCAAAAATCGAAAGACAGCAGCCAGGCCAGGATGTGGAGGAGCAGGCAGTGCCGTGCCCAGCGTCCCGCCTCTGCACACTGTCAAGGCTCGTGGATAAGGATGCTCACAGCAGGACTGAGAAATAGGCCCAAGTGGCAAACAGCCTATAAAGGCCCATCAGTGGTAGAACCGACTTTCAAAAGTGTGGCAAGGTCGCTCGGAGGCGTCGCGCGCGGCCTGGCGGCGGGCACATCGAGGGCCGGGGTTGGCCTTCTCCAGCTCCGAGCCCTGGGGTCCGGGAGGGACCCGGCAGCCCCGCGCCCCGCTCTCCCCGCCCGCCCGCGCTACAGGCCCCGTCCGGGCGGGCTCCCTGCCAACGGGAAGTAATGCCACCATTTTATCAAAGATTTGCAAAAATAGACTGTATCAAAAAATGGATAGAACTCAAACAACTTGATTATTTAGGTATTCCATTGTTTTATGGATCTGGTCTTACTGAATTCAAGGGAAGAAGTTACACATTTATGGTAATGGAAAGAGTAGGAAAAGATCTGCAGAAGATCTCAGAACAGAATGGTACTTTTAAAAAGTCAACTGTCCTGCAGCTAGGTATCCGAATGTTGGATGTACTGGAATTTATACATGAAAATGAGTATGTTTATGGTGATATAAAGGCAGCAAATCTACTTTTGGGTTACAGAAATCCAGATCAGGTTTATCTTGCAGATTATGGACTTGCCTACAGATATTGTCCTAATGGGAACCACAAACACTATCAGGAAAATCCTAGGAAAGGCCATAATGGGACAATAGAGTTTACCAGCTTGGATGCCCACAAGGGAGTAGCTCTGTCCAGACGAAGTGACCTTGAAATCCTTGGCTACTGCCTGCTGCAGTGGTCATGTGGGAAACTGCCCTGGGAAGGGAACCTGAAGGACACTTTAGATCCATCTTGAGTTAAGTTTTGTGAGGTGAGGTAGGGGTCTGGCTTCATTCTTTTGCATGTGGATACCCAATGCCCCAGCACCACTTGTTGAAAAGACTGTGTGTTCCCCAGTGAGTGGCCCAGGTCCCCTGTTGGAAGAATCCGGGGGACAGGGAATGTGCTTGGTTGCACCCATGTCTCTTTCACCTGGCAAATTGTCTGACACATACTTGACACTCATTAAGTCCATTCAGAAAATACTCATTTGAATAGAATATTGTCTGCAAATAACCTGTCTAAGAACTGGGGAGAAGGTCCCTTTCCGTTGACTTGAGCACACACCATGCCTAGCACTCCAGCGCGGGTCCAGATGCTTGCAGGCCAGCTTACGGCGCTCAGGTGTCTGCACCGCCATCTCAGCCCGACCTGGGAAACCATCGTCTTGTACCCTTCTGCCTGTCACCAACTGGCCTCTTTTTTACTTTCCAACTCATTTTAAGTACTGTTGCCAAATACATCCTCCTCAGACTCAGCTCTGATGGTGTCAGTGGACTGCCCTGATGCCTCCAGGAGCAGTTCCAGCAGTTTCTCTGTCTCTCTCTGGTGACCGAGCATGTACGTATTGTGCAGCGCCCACTGAGTGCTGGTCATGGACAGCACTGTTTCCTGGAGGAGGCCTTTCCTCCAGTCTGCACAAAGCTTGCTCTCCCTGCCGTGCCTGGTGGGAGTCTGGGTGGAAGAGCCCACTGTGGGCCCGGCCCCAGCTGCACTCTGTCCCCGCCTTACTCTGTACTGGGGCTCCTACATGCATTCTCTGCTCACAAGCTTCCCGAGGGTCTTGGTTCAATGCTGTGAACCCCGGAGGCACCCAGAACATTCTCCTGAAAAAGTTGGGGGTCCTGCCCACACACACACAGGAGCTAAAAGAGGAGCAAATGCTGTTCTTTAGTCAGAGAATAATAACCATTAAACTTATTTGAAAGTGTATTTACAGCATGCTTCTTACGGCCTAGAATGTCCAGTTTGGTGCACTCCCTTTTTGCCCTCCTGCCCTCCAGGCCTCTGCCTCCAGGGACTTTCTTGGGGCTTCTTTGTCTCCATGCCTGTGCTGCTTCCTCCTCCTGCCGTGGAGAGAGCCCTCAGTCAGCAGCTGTCTTCTTTGACGCCCCCGCAGCCCCTTCCTGTTCCGTAACCCATGGGAATGGTGCCTCCAAGCATGCACCTTTCAAGAGGAGGCACCTGAATCTCCATGAGCGGAGCCCGACCAGGTCGGAAACTGAGGGTGAGAGCTGTCAGCTTCTCTGGGAGTGCATTCCATCCCCGGAGCAGCGCCTGCCGTTGAGGCTTTCACAGGCAAAATGGCCCAATTCTCAGGTTTGGAAGTTTTCTCTGTCCTCGGTATGGAGGATGGCTAGCTGTCTGCTAGCTGGATGATGCACGCAGGTGAAGACAGGGTCAGAGGGTTTCGTGCTGGGCCAGGACACACCTCACATCAGAAAAGGCTGGGGTGGGGAAGCAGGGCTGGTGTGGCTCTGCTTGGTGCCTTGGGCTGTTAGGGGCAGATTTTGGCAGGACTGGCAGGTTGATGCTCACAGAGATCAGGCCTGGGAGACAACAAGGACCCCAGAGTGCACACTGGGGGCTCCTACCCCACCTTCTGCAGAAACTGGCCTTGCAGGGTCACTAGTGATCAGAAGCCACATGTGTCCTCAGAGACCCCAGAGCCAGCCTCACCCTGATAGCACTATCAACAGGTCTGCCTCCCGTCCATGTACTTCTGGGATGCCCTCTTTGGACTCTGTCCCTCCAGCTGTCTGGTCACTGGACACCCTGCTCTTCTTTCCACAGGGTGAGCAGCATGCAGTGGGTGCAGAGCCCCTGTGGCCTCTGCTCAGAGCAGCCCAGTGTGGTTGCTGGTGAGAGGGTGGTGGGGTGCAGCATGCAGAGAGAGGATTCCCACCCCCTTCCATCGAGCACCTCCCCATGGTGAGCATGTCATGGTGGCGGGCCGAGACTTAGGACAGTGACTCCCAGAGAAGCAGTGACTCCCTAAAGGGCATGTGGAGGGCCTGTAGCAAGGGGTATCTGCCCGTTTCCGGAGGTCCAAAAAGTCCGTTGATGGAAGCGTGGCAGAGTGGGAGTGGAATTGGGGTGAGGGGTCCAACCATGCACTGACAGAGGGTCTCTAGGGAAAGGTACTGTAAGGGATCCCTTTGCCTTCCAGGTCCTCTGTGTGGCAGGTATTGGGCCGTTCATGGAGCAGAGGCAGCAAGGGTTGGGGAAGGAAGGCAAGCAGAGCGCTCAGGGCTTCGCACTGTCAACAGGGATGGGGCCCCAGGCTAATCCAGAGCCAGAGGTTAAACCCACAGGAAAACGAGCCCCAGCAGAAGCAGACCCATAAAGATGCCACTGTTGGAATGTTCAGACACAAAATAGCTGTGTTTAAAGAAATCAGAAAAACTTGCGAATGTGAATAGGGAACAGGGGAAACCTAAAGAATGCCAGTGGAGGCTTGGAAAAGAATCAAAAGATTGAACATGGCCAAAGAGAGAACCAAAGGCGAGGAAAGAGGAATGGCAGAAAGGACATGGTGGGTGGGAGGTGAGACGGGTGGGAGGGGGCCACCCGAGGACCAGGCTGCTCTGCCCAGCCTGGCAGGCTTTCTGTGGGAGCTCCAGAAAGAGGCAGAGCTTCTGGAAAGATGATGGTGGGGAATTCTCTAGAATAGTTTAAAGATGCCAGATCCATGAGTCCCCAAACCCTTTCTTTCAATAATTAAAAATGAGCCCAGACCTGGATATACATCATAGTGAAACTGAAGGAAACAAAAGGAGAATACATTTTTCTCACCATTTCTCTGCCAAGTAGTTTGTGTTTCCTACGTAGATCATCCTGTTACATCATACACCGATGACAACTGGTGTGTTCCTTCTTCATTAGCAAGTGAATCTACAATAAATGTTTAGAGACAATAAAAAAAGTTAGCAAGATTGCTTGTAAAAGTAGTGCACAAAATAAAATGTGTTTGTACTCCAGAAACAGAAAATAATTTATGAACGTAACGATGCAAAAATCGAAAGACAGCAGCCAGGCCAGGATGTGGAGGAGCAGGCAGTGCCGTGCCCAGCGTCCCGCCTCTGCACACTGTCAAGGCTCGTGGATAAGGATGCTCACAGCAGGACTGAGAAATAGGCCCAAGTGGCAAACAGCCTATAAAGGCCCATCAGTGGTAGAACCGACTTTCAAAAGTGTGGCAAGGTCGCTCGGAGGCGTCGCGCGCGGCCTGGCGGCGGGCACATCGAGGGCCGGGGTTGGCCTTCTCCAGCTCCGAGCCCTGGGGTCCGGGAGGGACCCGGCAGCCCCGCGCCCCGCTCTCCCCGCCCGCCCGCGCTACAGGCCCCGTCCGGGCGGGCTCCCTGCCAACGGGAAGTAATGCCACCATTTTATCAAAGATTTGCAAAAATAGACTGTATCAAAAAATGGATAGAACTCAAACAACTTGATTATTTAGGTATTCCATTGTTTTATGGATCTGGTCTTACTGAATTCAAGGGAAGAAGTTACACATTTATGGTAATGGAAAGAGTAGGAAAAGATCTGCAGAAGATCTCAGAACAGAATGGTACTTTTAAAAAGTCAACTGTCCTGCAGCTAGGTATCCGAATGTTGGATGTACTGGAATTTATACATGAAAATGAGTATGTTTATGGTGATATAAAGGCAGCAAATCTACTTTTGGGTTACAGAAATCCAGATCAGGTTTATCTTGCAGATTATGGACTTGCCTACAGATATTGTCCTAATGGGAACCACAAACACTATCAGGAAAATCCTAGGAAAGGCCATAATGGGACAATAGAGTTTACCAGCTTGGATGCCCACAAGGGAGTAGCTCTGTCCAGACGAAGTGACCTTGAAATCCTTGGCTACTGCCTGCTGCAGTGGTCATGTGGGAAACTGCCCTGGGAAGGGAACCTGAAGGACCCTGTGGCTGCAGATGCAGAGAAAGGCTAGCCTGCAGATGCAGAATAATAGACTACATTTTTAAATACTGACATACATTATATGAAATATTTCTCCACATGGAATCTTGATCCTCTTAGCCCCTCTTCTAAAACTAACACATTTATATAAGTCAATATTAGAACAATCTAATCAGTTATTTACTGCAGTAATTAGTGTGCCCATATTAACCCTCATGTAACTGACATTTTTCAATAAATAAGTCAAGTCAAAGCATAGTAATCAGCATATATAAACAGTCTCATATCCAATTTTTCTCAATTTAATTTGAATAATGTACTTTATTTTAAAAACTAGCATTTTAATTCTAATGATTGTATCTATTTTTTTACTAAGACTAATACAATTTTAGCCCTGTTAATATGCATATATAGATGTATTCATTGTAGATACTTAATGAATATGCCCAAACAATAAGACATCATGTATAATAGTAAAATGTAATGCTAATAAACACAACCTCCATTTAAAAAAAAAAGTGTGGCAAGTTTACCCAGTGGAATACTGTACACCAGCTGCAGCTTGACAGACTGGCATCGATGAGTTTGTTTCAGTTGTAAGTGAAAGAAGCTAAGCACACAAAGAATACAGTTTTCTTGAATGAATATATGACTCAAAAACAGACACACCTAAACAAATTTGTTTAGGTTTATCTTCAAAGATGGAAAAACTACAAAAGCAATAAATGCATTGACAAGCAGAACCAGCAGGGAGCTGGGACACGGGCACCAACACTGTGGGAAGGCAAGGTGCTGTGTGACCAGCCTTCCTGAGGCCCTGCTGACTCATGCGGGGGATGGAAGTTCACACAGCAAACAAAATTCAGTCTATGCAGGCTAATGACTCCAAAGGCAACGCTATAAAACTTTAGCAAATTGATTTATAGGAGAATATTTCTTATCTATAAGTAGAGAAGATTTCTTAGGTAGAGGAGAAATCATGAAAAATGATTTATAAACTCAACTACATTAAAATTAAAAACTTTTCATCAAAAGGTACCATAAAGGAAGTGAAAAGACAAGCCACAGATAGGAGAGATTTGTAACACATAACCAGAGAAGTTACTACTGAGAATTGATATATTTTAAAAATGCAACTCCTACAAATTCATTAGAAAAAAATTTTAATGGCTTACAGTAAAATTTTAAAAGTCACACTATTTCTAGTAAATGAGAAATATAAGTGGCTCATGAGTATGGGAAGTATGCTTGACCTCATTAATTATCAGAAAAAACTTAAACAGGAATTCATTACACCACTATTTTTGTAAATGTTTTAAGTTTTCCATTATAAACCTTTTTTTAAATTAGATAGGTAAGAAAGGTGGGGGGAGATGTAAGACTGTGCCAGACCCACTCCTCCTAGGGAGCCCCTTTCCACACTTGGCTTTGACCTTGCAGTAATGCCCTGTGCAAATGTGTACACATAAACACTTGTGGCTTTTTCAAAAAAGTTAGTTAACCTTGTTTAGGTATTAATTGTGAAGGTTCTTACCTGTCATTGGATTCACATTAAAACACTCGCTCCCCACCCTGCACACAGCATTGATCACAATTCGTCCCAGGAAGATTGTGGGTGGCTCGTCTGAGGCCAAGGCTGCGCCGGCCATAGGTGTGTGGGTGCTGATGGATTCATTGTCTGCTGGATCTTTAGAACTTTAAAGACTGGTACTGAAGGTCTTATTGAAAGCTGAAGTTGAAAATTACTATTTTGAAGATGATAATGTGTCTTCAGTGTTGGCCCAGTTACAAAAGTAATCTGTGAATCTTGGAAGAAACTTGGAGAATACAGAAAAGTAGAAGAAAAGGTAGTACCCCATTGCCTCCATGTTCCACAACCACTGCTGCTGTTTGTGACACGGCCCTCAGGGTAGAATCCAGCTGACAGGTGGGGTGAGGGAGCCAATGAGCAGCGCTTGGCCAACTCCAGTGATTGCTCATACAGGTCCTCAGTGGGGGCTAAAATAATGGGTGGAAACATCTCCCCAAGATCCTCTGGAGAAGGGGCCGCAGTGCTGCCGTGCCCAGGAGAGTGAGAGCTCAGGCGCTGTCTGGCAGAGCCCCTTGGGTGTGTGCTGAGGGACAGCCATGTGTGGAGTCTGGACAAATGCTGTTTTTTGGACTTTCTTAAAATCTGAAATTGTTTCTGTTACGGCCTGGTTGTATTCCGTCCAGAATTCATGTTGAAACTCACCCCACCATGTGAACAGTATCTGGTGGTGATTAGCTGTGAGTGTGGGGCTACCACGACGGGCTCAGTGCACTTGAAGTCAAGAGAATCGCCGTTCCTCTCCGCAGCACTGAAGTGAGCTCTCATCAGATGCAGCCATGCGGGCACCCAGAAGGCAGGCTTCAGCCTTCAGAGGTGTGAGACACAATAGTATGTGGTTTATAAAGCAGAAATAAACGAGGGGGACCACATCTAACTAAAAACCTTCTATACAAAGGAAACCATCAATAAAGTACAAAGGCAGCCTACTGAATGGGAGAGTATATTTGCAAATGATGTGTCTGATAAGGGGCTAATATCCAAAATATATTAAGAACTCATATAACTTAACACCAAAATCCAAATAATCCTATCGAAAACGGGCAGAGGTCCTGAATAGACATTCAGATATTCCACAGAAGAAATACAGATGGCCAGCAAGTATGTGAAAAGATGTACTTTTGGCGCTCCACATCACGAATCATCAGGAAGATGAAAATCAAAGCCACAATAAAATATTGCCTCACCCCAGTCAGAATGGCCACTATCCAGAAGACAATAAATAGCAAGTATTGGCAAGGATGCGGAGAAAAGGGAACCCCCCCCACACACACTGCTGGTGGGAATGTAAATTGGTGCAGCCACTATGGAAAGCAGTATGGAGGTTCCCCAAAAGATTAAAAATAGAAATACCATTTGACCCAGTAGCTTCAGTTCTGGGAATTTACCTCAAGAAAACAAAATCACTAATTCAAAAAGACACAAGCCCAGCTATGTTCATTGCACATTATTTACAATAGCCAAGATACAGAAGCAACCTAAGTGTCCATCAAAAGATGAATAGATAAAGAAGATGTACATATACACAATGGAATATTACTAAGCCACAAGAAAGAATGAAATCCTGCCATTTGCAGCAACATGGATAGATACAGAGGGTATTACTCAGTGAAATAAGCCAGGCAGAGAAAGACAAGTACCATATGATTTCACATATGTGTGGTATCTAAAAAACAAAATAAAACTGAAATAGACTCAACACAGAGAACAGACAGGTGGTTGCCATAGGGGATGGGATGGGGGATGGGTGAAACAGGTGAACAGGATTAAGAGGGACAAACTCCCAGTTATAAACTAGATAGATTCTCAAGATGGTGGCATGAGTAGGGTGGTGGATAGCTCCTCCCAAAACCATATATATTTTGAAAATAAAGCAAATACAACTATTCCTAAAAGAGACCAGAAGATACGGTACACCAGCCAGGCCAAATCTACATCTACAACAACTCAGCATCTCACAGAAAAGGGTAAAATACAAAGCCATGACCCAGCGGGACCTGAGCACTCCCCCCACCCCAGCTCACCGGCCGGAGGAAAAGAATCAGAGTGGGGAGGGAGTGGAAGCCCAGGCCTGCTAATTAACCAGCCCTAGTGACCTGCACCGGGGGCACAGACACACATTCATGGTGTACGGGATATTAGAGGAACAGAAAAGCAAAATCTGAGACTAAGACTGCAAACAGGTTCCAACAGCCGGCTGTACTGGGACAAAAGAAAAGGGGGTGCTTTAAAAGTAGTAAAGGGAAAAGGGTTTAACAGCTGGACAAAATCATCCTGGCACTCTCAGCCCAGCGGGCTGGGAACCTTAACTTCAGGTGCCCTAATCCCCTGGGTGGCAGCACAGTTCCAAAGCCCCTCATGGTGATAAGCAGCCTGCCTTTCATTCTGCCCCTGCTGGCACTGCAGGCAAACCAGCTGACCCGCTATTTGTGCAGACCGGGGGGAGCAGCCCCATCCACAGCAACTACACAGAGGCTTCTCCCTGCACGCGGCTAACCAGCCCAGACCCAGAGGCTACCTGCTGCGTACAGTTGACCAGCACAGCAGAGACCAGCACAGTCTGGAAGGCACAAAGGGGCCTTGTTCTCGCAGAGAACATGCGCTACTCACCTGCAAACCCTGCCAGTGCCCTAGCACAGAGGCTATGCGCTGTGCGCGGTTGACCAGCACAGACAGTGGAGATGGGCACAGAGTCCAAGAGGCATGAAGGGGCTCTGTTCTGGTGGTGAACACGCACCATGGGCCAGCGACGCCCACAAGTGCACTAGGCCATCCTGAAGGCCGACCCACCCATGGCAGCTCAGGAAATTAACCCAGAGGCTGCTCCCTATGTGGGGTTGATCAACACAGGCAGCGGGTACAGGCAAGGTGACCAGCAAGCAGGAAGGGACTTAGTTCTCCCAGCTGACACACGTGCCACTCGCTGGCAACTAGTCCCATCACCATGAAAATGCAGAAGAACCTTGTTCAGTCCAAACTCCCTCAAACATGAGAGAGAGGGGCTGGTGAGACTGAAATCACCAATGCTCCTGAAAAAAATTTTTTAAAAAGTCATAACCATGCTGATGGTGTTACAGAGAAATATGCAAGAGCTAAGGGATGATGAATTCAGGAGGGAGATAACAGAAATGAAACAATGGAAGAATTTAAGAGCAGACTGGATTAGGTGCAAGAGACTGTTAAAGGAATAGAAACCAGAGAACAGGAATACAGAGAAGCTGAAGCAGAGACAGATAAAAGGATCTCTAGGAATGAAAGAATGTTAAGAGAATTGTGCGGCCAATGCAAACAGAACAATATTCCCATTATAGGGGTACCAGAAGAAGAAGAGAGAGAAAAACAAATAGAAAGTGTCTTTGAAGAAATAATTGCTGAAAACTTCCCCAGTCTGGGGAAGGAAATAGTCTCTCAGACCATGGTGGTGCACACATCTCCTAACACAAGGGACCCAAGGAGGACAACACCAAGACATATAATAATTAAAACGGCAAAGATCAATGAGGACAGCGTATTAAAAGCAGCCAGAGAGAGAAAAAAAATCACCTACAAAGGAAAACCCATCAGGCTGCCATCAGATTTTTCAGTAGAAACCTTACAGGCCAGAAGAGAGTGGCATGATGTATTCAATGCAATGAAACAGAAGGGCCTGGAACCAAGACTACTGTATCCAGCAAAACTATCATTTAAATTTGAAGGAGAGATTAAATAATTCCCAGATAAGCAAAAGTTGAGGGAATTTACCTCACAGAAACATCTCTACAGTGTATTTTAAAGGGACTGCTCTAGATGGAAGTGCTCCTAAGGCTGAATAGATGTCAGCAGAGAAAATAAAACCACAGCAAAGAAAGCAGACCACCAAATACTGACTAAATGCAAAATAAAATCAGCTCTCCACAAAATC